TTTTGCGATAATTATCAGTATTTAGATTGTGACGGACACTTCCAGTTAAGTAAGCTAAATTAAAAAGTTAATAAATAATCTGAGACAATAAATACCATTTTATGTGTGTATAATCTATGAGTGCGGCCAGAGTGCACTCAGATTCAGATTCTGAAAACAAGCGCGAGAAATAAACAGTGTAGTCTAAGCAGGTTGCCTGCTTTTTCTCGCGCTTTGTTTTCTGAGTCTGAATCTGAATCTGAATCAGGAGTGCACTCTGGCCGTACCCTTGGGGTGCGGCCAGAGTGCACTCAGATTCAGATTCAGGTTCTGAAAACAAGCGCGAGAAATAAACAGTGTAGTCGAAGGGTACCGCCAGAGTGCACTCCTGATTCAGATTCAGACTCAGAAAACAAATCGCAAGAAAAAGCAGGCAACCTGCTTAGACTACACTGTTTATTTCTCGCGCTTGTTTTCGAAATCTGAATCTGAGTGCACTCTGGCCGTACCTTTCGACTACACTGTTTATTTCTCGCGCTTGTTTTCGGAATCTGAATCTGAATCTGAATCTGAGTGCACTCTGGCCGCACCCTATGATAGCGCTGCAAACAAAACACTCTTTATTCCTAATGCCGGCACTTCACTTGGCTATTTGTATTTGCTATTTAAAAACCTGACATCAGTCTGTCCTTTTCATTCCTTATTAAGCATGACAAGGACAAACTGTTGTCAAGTGAAGGGCCGGCATAAACTCGTTACTCTGTGGTTGAGGTGCAGGCAATCTGTATTCGTAGTAATCTGTGGCATTCGTGCATTCCACGTAGTATCTAAATAGTCTGTGGTGCATTCTCATCAAAGGGTGAATTCAGACTCAGAAAACAAAGCGCGAGAAAAAGCAGGCAACATGCTTAGACTACACTGTTTATTTCTCGCGCTTGTTTTCGAAATCTGAATCTGAGTCTGAATCTGAGTGCACTCTGGCCGCACCCAAAGGGTGCGGCCTGAATCTGAATCTGAATCAGGAGTGCAATCTGGCCGTACCCAAAGAGTACTTTTTATCTACGGAAAATTCTCGTTTCGAATTACCTGTTGTGTGTATTTATTTGCGATTGTTTTTCCTTTAATTTAACTATTACTATGTCGGCTCTCTAATATGCCATCGATGTTACCAAAGAGCAGAGACACTGGTGTCGATTCTAGAGTGATTCTCTAAACTTAAAACTAAATTTAACATCAGTCTCTCCTTTTCATTCTGTATAGAGAATGACAAGGATGCACTGTTGTCAAATTTAAGTTTAGCTTTAGAGAATCATGCCAGAATCGACATCACTGTTTATTTCTCGCGCTTGTTTTCAGAATCTGAATCTGAATCTGAATCTGAGTGCACTCTGGCCGCACCCAAAGAGTACTTTTTATCTACGGAAAATTCTCGTTTCGAATTACCTGTTGTGTGTATTTATTTGCGATTGTTTTTCCTTTAATTTAACTATTACTATGTCGGCTCTCTAATATGCCATCGATGTTACCAAAGAGCAGAGACCTTTTTACCAAGTGCTAGTGAACCTGTGCCACAACATTCTGAGAGGATCATACTGCCAAATTATTCAAGAACACCTGATACACATTCACGCTGCACAATACACATGTGTAAAACAAATAAATCCAATATACAATATGATACAATTATGTGAAAAATAGCCAATAAATAATAAGAAGCAAAACTACAGTTTTTATTTTATTCTAACCAAGTTTTTCCTAATAGTTATTCTTTAAAATCGCACCGAATAAAATGAATTAGTTGTAATATTAATTCAATTCATACTGAGTTCATACTAAGTTCGTAGGTTGACCTATGTTTCATTGAATATTAAACATAACCTCAAAAAAATTTTAGTTTTCCTAATAATTTAAGTTCTCAGAAGTGTCCGTCAATAATTTTTGTTTTTACAGTCATTTACTTGCGATTTCGAACCTAGAAAATAATATTTCATGATTGTTGGTTCTTAGGCTAACTATGTATGGACGCAGAACAATGTCTAATGTTGCCGAACTATCGATATGAAAAGTATCGACAGTTTACATCGAAAATCATGTACCCTATCGATAGTATCGAAACTATCGATAGCACAGAACAAGGCAATACTATCGAATGAGTGCAATAGTATCGATACTATTGTAGTTCGTTAATAACAAACTATTGATAGTATCGATACTATCGATACCGTTGATTTTATCTGCAACAATACTATCGATAGTATCGATACTAGCGATTGTTTTAGACTATCGATAGTCTACCAATTTGCAATAGTATTAGGTATGTTTTAACAGTATTGTAGTTGAGGACTATTAGAGGCCGATATATATATTTTTATAAACATTTCTATCGAGCTGTGCTAATTCTAATAGTTGATTGTGATTGACTATAATACCTGAAAATTGTAAACAATACTATTGCAAATTGTTAAACTATCGATAGTATAGTTGCAAATAAAATCGACAGTATCGATACTATCGATAGTTTGTTATTACCGACCTACAATACTATCGATAGTATTTCACTCATCCGATAGTATTGGCTTGTTCTGTGCTATCGATACTATCGATAATATCGATAGTATCGATAAGCCGTTGATTGTCATATGATTGGTCGGCTATCGATAGACTATCGATTAATCCTCGATAGTCGACTATCGATCGGCAACACTAACAATGTCCTTTCTCGCATCGTAAATACCCAATCCAGCGCATCTATCTAATACCTACTCGTAGGTACGTAGGTACCTACTAGGTATAAATTTCAGTTTCGGTAAGAGGTTGTAATTCCCCCCGATCCTGAGAGACCTTCAGTCGCTCAGTCCCAAACCGATACGGATGCACATCAGAGTGCATCCGTCCTAGTATTTACTAAGGCAGCGCTGCATCATCCCCTTCTCAGGGGTTGATCGCATCAGATGAAGCCTGTAAGGCCATAGGCATCCCCCACGGGTGTTTTAGTCAGTAAGACTCTGACATAACCCTACAGCCGGCTGTAGGGTATCCATGAGGATTTCACACCCGCTCCCCCGCCTGGGAGGAAACAAAAAAGAAAAGAAAAGGAGGTTGTAATTATCCCCTCAGCTGTTTTGTGAAGATTTTATTCTCATTTATTGTATAATCCGAGATGCGTAACCTATTTTTATCTTTTTTGTTTCTATCAGTTTTTAGCGAGATCGGCCCAAATCCCAATTTTTCATTTGGTGAAGATGCCAAGTTTCGGATATATAAAAACAAACTTTTCAATTACAAACAGTAGGTACTTATTTCATGTTTGGTTATTTTAAGAAATATGATTTACTTATATAAAGTTGGAAATAAAAACAATTCTAACAAATATTAAAAACTGCTTAATAGAAAGTCTAAAGTCATATATTCTATAGTCACATTTAAAGTCAAAATAATATTTGGATTGGAATTTGTGATTGGAATGCATATCACTGACATCATACCTATTATCTTGTTAATTATTTGACTATGTACTTAAGATATTAGTAGGATCTTAAGGTATTACTTATAGATTTCTTACCTTTTTAGCTTGTTTTTATATGAAGTGGATTTTTATTTATGTTATAAAAGATTTTACCTTAAATTATTTAACATTTTATACAAAATATACGTATACACTACCTACGAAAGACCACAATAGCGCAAGTGTAACGCTTTCGTTCTGCGATCGTGAATGTTAAGCAATTTTCACAATGGCCGATCTTAGGATGGGTGACCAACCCAAAATGTTATATCGAGTTCCTATGTTGCTGCTCGCTGCATCTGCAGTCGTTAGCCCCCACTGTAAGCATCTAATAGTCTGTGGCCCCCACTATGTTGCATTAGGCCCGCGTGATGGCTCATTCATGACACATTAATAGACATATTCAAATAAAAAATAAATCCGAATCGTAACATAGAATTAACTTCCTTTTTAAAAAAATTAAAAGATCTAGCTATATTATTATTACCGTCGCCGTTCATTGTTGTATAAAATGTACGAATTTTTAACGAAATAAACCCATATCCAACCTTAACAAGAAGTTCGAAACTTAAATACAGCATTCATTTACTTAATATTTGGCCTCAATTTATTCACATTTAAATTTAGAGAGGACCTCCATAGCTCCTTTTTAAATTTAGTGTGACATTTCTAATTTTAGAGTAAATATGACATTGATGTCGATTCTGGCATGGTTCTCTAAAGCTAAACTTAAATTTGACAACAGTGCATCCTTGTCCTTCTCTATACAGAATGAAAAGGTGAGACTGACCTTCAATTTAGTTTTAAGTTTAGAGAATTACGCCAGAATTGACACCATTAAGAACGCGGTTCAGAATACCATTTAATCATCTAAATCTAAGTTGAATAACTTAGCGACGTCAATTTTGAATTTAGAGATAATTACAGAATACCAAATTGAATTTGACAACTCTATATCTAATTTCAGTTAGTTTTAGATTTAATTTGGCATGCCAGAATTGGGCCCAGCCAATGTATGTTTACGCTATTCCGGATAAGGGTTAAATGGACGTGAGAACTTTATTGTAGTGTTGACTATCCCACAGAAGTTTATCGAAAAAGTCAACTCAATACATTTATTGTCAAACATTCGAAGAAACAATAGAATGTGTCATACCGACATTCTAATGTAAAAAAAAGAAAATAAGATTAATATAAATTAAAACTAGGCTGTCTGGGCATTGTTTCCTTTGCTTTCCCAAAAAAGGGAGAATTAAAAAAAATGTCGACAGCAAAAGTCTCGTTTGCTTTTTATGTGATTTTTTTTAGTGATTTACTACTTGATCGACAGAAAATAAATTCTAGTGAACAGCTCAAGCATTTTTTTAATTTCAATAAAAATGGTAAATTATTGTGTTGAGTTATTTCTTAGTTACTCCTGTATATAATGGTTTCTCGACAAATTTTAGCGCAGCTGGATTTGTTCCAAATTTAGATGGTTTCCTTGGTATGTTATGGGTTCTGAATTACTGAAATAATGGAAACCGTAAGAAGATCATGGAAATTACGTATGTATACTTTGTAAATTTAAGTAACTATGAAAATGTTTGTCAGTCATGGTACATTGATGCTTTGTTTTTACAGAAGAATTTGTAGCCCACAAGGCAAACGTCAACTGTTTGGCCATGGGACACAAATCAAATCAAGTTTTGGCTACTGGAGGTGATGATAAAAAAGTTAACTTGTGGGCGATAGGCAGACAAAGCTGTTTGATGGTTAGTTAAATAAAAATAATTTCATAAGAATAAACTTATGAGATAAATAGTTCAGCTTAGAGTTTTGAATTATAAATAGTCTAATTGTTGCAGAGTTTAAGTGGGCATACAACACCTGTAGAATGTGTTTGCTTTGGACATTCTGAAGACTTAGTATGTGCTGGTTCTCAAACAGGTGCATTAAAAATTTGGGACTTGGAAGCAGCAAAACTTTTAAGAACATTTACTGGACATAAGGGTGCAATAAAATGTATGGATTTTCACCCTTATGGTGATTACTTAACTACAGGCTCTTGCGATAGTAATATAAAATTGTGGGATACAAGAAAGAGAGGATGTATTGTTACATATTCCAGTCACCAAGTTGCTGTAAACAGCTTGCAATTCAGTCCAGATGGGCAATGGATTGCTTCAGCATGTGAAGATGGTAAACACTAATGCCATATTTTCTTTAACAATTTGTTTGAAATAGTTTTCTACACAATAAAATTGACAATGTATGAACAATTTACAATGTCTATTCTTTAGTTTGTTCACTGCATAAAAAACTGTCTTTTACCTGGTGCGGTGTCGGTTCAAATATGCCCCCACTGTAATTTCATATTGTGCATGCCAGGTTTTGACTGTTAAAGTTCTATTATATTTGACAGAGATGTAAATTAAATTACAATATATTGCAGTTTTATAATTATATAAGCTTCATCACTGGATTCTCATAATAGAAAATAAAAATTTGTAGTGTCAGATAGATTAAGTCAGATACCACTAAAATATAATTGTGATGGGACAGAATCAGGAAAGAAAAGATCAAGTTACTTCGTACTTATATTATTTATTGTAGTAATTATTAATGAATCAAATAAACTTAACAAGCCAAACATAATATTGTATTAAATGTGCCTGCCTTTGTAACATGTAATGCTTTAATTACTTAGACTTGACACAAAAAAACACTATTTTATTTTTTGTGTTACTATTGTTATCAGTATTATTTACGATGTGCCATGGCCATGATAGTGTAATTTGCAAAAAAACTTATGTGTTTGTCACTGTAGCAAGAACAACTCTATTGATCGCTTGGGGCTTACCTATTTGCCTAGTATGGTAATGGGTTGAAAATGGTCATCCTCTATAACAGGCTCATACGTAAATTGTTTACGTTCTGTGGAGTGAAGGTCGAAAAAGGCCTTACGCATTTTTTTATGGCTTTATTAGTACATTATTAGTCACAAACCGAAAATGATATTTGTCTCTGTCCTACTTGTAAATATGCCAGATATGCAAGTTCCGCACATACAGGAAAAACCAGTTTTATTAACTTATATTTTTATAGGACTTAAAATATCAGTTGCTGTATTAATGGAAGTTTTTGAATTATACCGCATTCTGTTTATTGGATGCTGCACATCAGCATCAACCTGAGCCCTTGATCAGGGTAGATTAAGATTATCTTACAGTATCATTTCATAAACACTTTTAATTTAATTTTGCTTCTACATTTGGCTTTTTGACAACCAGGAATTACTTTGGATTTTGCTATTATGATTTCATATTGTTATTTCTAACCGCCGAAGGTTTTTAAATTCCACACAAGCAATTCCGATAGGCAGTAGCTCCTCAGATGCCTAGAGTAACCACTCCTGCCAGTGCTGCTATAGGATCTATACCAGTACTAGCTTCTATATATTATGTACTTTCTCAAAAATATCTTCTCAAACTTCCATTTATTGTAGGATTGGTTAAAGTATGGGATGTGAGAGTGGGCAAAGTTTTACAAGAGTTTATGGAGCACACATCTGCAGTAACATGTGTTAAATTCCATCCACATGAGTTCCTTCTCGCCAGCTGTGGTGCAGATAGAACTGTAAACTTTTGGGATATGGAGAAATTCCAACTAGTCTCTAAATTTGAAAAAGACAATACTTCAATAAGGTAATGATCATAAAATTATTGGTACATTGTTAATGTCAGTTTGTTTATTTTTTAATTATATTGTATGCTATTTCAATATTATTAATTTCAGGCATATGGCATTTAGTAATGATGGAACTACATTGTTAGGGTGCGGGAATGACGGTCTACATGTAATCGGTTGGGAGCCAGCAAGAGTTCTTGATACAGTTCCTGGGCATTGGGGACAGATACATGACATCACAATAGCACAAACACAACTTGTAAGTTTCTTGTGTTGCTTTTATTTTAGATGAAAAAAATGCCAATCAGAAAATAAATGATGTCTTATACTTTGATATTAGATTGCAGGATCTTTTCACTCAACATATGTTGTACTATCGGTTGTTGACCTGAATAAAGTACATCCATTTGGAGGTCCACCTCCAGTTGTACCAACTGTAGTTCGGGATTTATCACCTTTCCAAAAAGGTCACTCAGTGAGGAAGAGTTTTTCAAAAGAGAAACCATCAAAAGAAGGTACCTACATAAAATTTTATTATGAATTGTTAATTTGCCTTTTATATAATTTAACATGTCGCTAATTACTATTATAGTGTTACACCAGAGAACCATTTTAGATGAAAAAACTGCTGAAGAATCGACTTCGGGAACTGAGGCAGATGAGGATTCAGGTGCAGTTATAGCTAATATTAATGACTACACTGAAATTTTTCGACCATCTAGATCATGTGAGTAGATTAGCAACAAATCAGTAATCACTGTCTCACAATCTACAACTCCACTACATACATATAAAAAAAAATAACTATCACATTTTAAATATATTACAGTGACGCGTACACCACCACCAGCTACCAGTTTATCATCTGAAGATTATTCTATTTCAAGTAATGTCGTTCATATTACTATTGTTCATTTGATCACTGTATTTTTTTTAATCTCCCTTACATTATTGCAGCTCAAGATTCAACAAATAAGTTGGAAACTGGCATGAGCTCATCTTTGCGCGACTTAATGTTGGAGGAGCCAGTGCCCCTGACGCGACCGACACCGCAGCCGTCGCCGCCGCAACGACAGCGGTCCGAAAATTATTCGCGGATACCGACTTCCACAAAGGACCATTACACAATCATAGAAAAAAAGACTGATGTCATCTCAAGTGAGATTAATAAGTAACACTTTAACATTAATTTCCCCATAATAATTATAATATTTGACTTCTTAAAACAAAATCATTATTAAAAATCGGCAATACCTAATATGCTATCGGCCTTCATTAATGTATCTATTTATTTTTTTATAATTATGCCTATTCGCTTGACTCAGGGGTGATGGATAACGCTAAAGAAGATAACACGTTCGCCGCAGCACAACCTTGTGCCATACGGGATTATACTGTTAGTCCTCTCTCAGCAAACACGCTTAACCGTCATAATTCATACAAGGAAACAAAATCCACTACAGAATTTAGTAAGTATCAGTGAACTAATAGGTACTTACATAGTCTTATTTATATTTTGGGATCTAAAGAAAATTATATTAAAGAACTGGATTTAAATTTCTCTGGTACAATAACTTTTTAGATTTAAATCTAATAACTAATTTATTACAAAATTGTGTGTTTATTACAAAACATCATCATATTTTGCAGCTCACAATAATCTACGACAAAGCAATAGTGAAATATCTTTAGGACCTCCTTCATTGGGTCCTAGATCCTTGTCATTTACCAGAACAACTGAAACAAGGTAGGTATTTAATTTAATTTATATGGTCATCAAAAAATAAGCCGACACATTTAAAAATAATGGCTTATATTACAAAGAAAAATGCAAATCTTTTAACACATACAATACAGCAAAAAACTATCTCACATGAAAAATATGCTACATTTTTCTAACTACCACTGTCTCTAAATTTTACAATAGTTCCTATATTCTTATGTTCTATAAATAAAGAAAAGGATGGCTAGACTGTTGTCTAATTTAGTTTTAAGTTTAGAGAATCTTAGGCCCGTGTTATAGAAAGATTCTCAGTGATTGGCTATTCGTAGTTGCTATTTGTAAACTTGATAACAGGGATTTTTATGGAATAACAAGTGCAGACTGATTTCAAGATTACAAATATCAAACACGAATAGCCAAGTGAAGTGGCATCAGAATCAAGTCCAATGTGCATTTATAATATATTCTTATCTATACTTCTATACTAATATTATAAAAAGGAAAGATTTGTTTGTGTGTTTGTATTGAATAGGCTCCGAAACTACTGGACCGATTTGAAAAATTCTTTCACATTTAGAATTCTACATTATCCTCGATGAACATAGGTAATAGAGTATTTCCGAAAAAGTTAGTTTTCCGTATGAACACTACGATAATGTAACCCAATGTTTGAAAAAAATACCAAAAAATAACCTTAGGTCGTGTACGCTGCGGAATTCATTGACAATAGAGCAAAGTGATGTACTAAAGTTTTATTGAAGTCATCAATATCTATAAAAAAATCCGCAATACCATATGTCTAATTATTACAGTTATGCCACAGCTAGAGGTCCCCTGCAATCAGCCGCATTAATTTGAGGTAAAATGTTATAATGAGTCAAAACTTGAAAGATGGACATATGCATAAAAAAGTAACTGTTAGTAATGATGCACTTTTTAGTGAGTTGACTATGGTTGGCATATATAAAAGTAGAAAAAGACTATGAACTATACGCAGAACGAAATTATAACACTAGCACAGATTTCAAACAGTATGTACAGAGTTACTCTAAATTATTTAAAAATTTTGCAGAATAGCCAAGTCTAAGTATCTGATCTCAAAAATCAAAAATAGTAATGACAAAATAAAAATGACTTTGAATATTATACATAATGAAACTGGAAAGTCTAAAATCAGAAATACAGATTATAATCTACACATTAAAAATAAAAAAGGTACATCAAATATTGCAGTTGCCACTGAATTTGTATTTTTTTTTACTGACATTCCAGTTTCAACTACCAAATTATTTAGGTCCTCCCCCATTGAATCCGAGTCTATTTTAAAAGAAAGTATGAAAAATTTTACACTCTTTTTGAATTTCAATATATTAATTCTAATGATATAATAAAGTCTTTAGACCAATGAAATAAAAATAAAGCCTCTGGGGGCCATTCGCCTAACGGGATTGCTTTGGAAACGCTATCGCTTACGATTTCATTTTGTTATTTCTGGCCGCCGAAGGTTTGCACATACCTCACGTTATTTTTTTTTTAATATTGTTATTAACAATGCAAAAGAAAAAAAAAGAGCGCGAGGCATTTGAAAACCTCAGGTGGCTAGAAATAACAAAATGAAGCAATAGCGTTTTTCAAAGCAATCTGTTTAGCCCCCTGATCTGTGGAAAGATTCCGTTGATGTCTCTAAATCAGTAATTAAAACAATAGCTCCAATCTTAGCTGACGTATTTAACCAGTGTATTGACTGTGGTGTTTTTCCTGATCTCATGAAACAGCAAAATAACTCCATTATTTAAATCCGGTAGCACATCTGACCCCACAAACTTTAAATCCAAAAGTAATAAAAATATTACTGATATACATCAGTGCTACCCACTTTTGTTTAGATATCTGAACAAAATATGTTAGACAACAAGGTTAGGCAGCATTAGTCTAATTTTTTTTTATTACTTTTTGGATTAGACCATCCCCAAGTTTCATACCATTCAGATGTTATCATGAGTGCAATAATTATGAGTGATAAAAGTAATCGATGTGTACAGACCACTGCGTCATTAGATACGTTCAATAATAAGCGTATGGACCAATGGTAAGGGGGATAAACTTTTAATAAGCATTAAGCATCGGTGCAATCGGTACAACGGGTCCCAAATACTCAATGAATTTATCCCGAATGATTAATAATTATATTATGAAGAAAGTCACTGTATATAATACAAGTCTGAGAACAAAAACTATAGTCTTCACTTCAGCTCTACACCGAAGCGAAGCGAGGGCAGGCCACGAGTCTAGTATATAAATCTTATTTCACTACACTTTTGCTTCTCTGCCGACTGAAAATATTTGTTATTTCCTCCCTTAAAAAATCAAAATCGGTTGCATTCTTTCTTAAATGAATGGGAGGCAACAATCTATGACCTCATCTGTACATTACAGACGAAGAGTGGAGAATGTTGTAAGGGACACAATACCAGTGCCACGGAACGTCGAACCAGCAGACCGGGAACCGGAACCAGAGTTTGTACCGTTTGCAACTGATCGACCTGTCGGACTTGATCTAGATGAATTCGTACCAGTAAGTTCTAAAGAATAAGCATGTGGTTATATAATTTTTGTCGTTATTCGTTGTCATGGCGGGTCGAGAAAAAAGTAAAACGGCGCGTTTACATTAGCCTTCGGTTCAGCCTCGGGGGTGGCTAACACCTTCTGCACTAAGAGCAAGCGCACATTGAGCCACTAGTAGCGGCCAATAAACGCGGGTTCACTAGTAGCTCAGCAAGCAACTAACCACCGATCACCGCCGCTATTGGCTTAGTGGTGGGGCCACATTCCATTAAATTCTGTCGTAAGTTTTGTTGTTGCAATCAAGCAAACAAATGTAACTAAATTTAGTTATTACTATTTTAGATTATTATTATATTGTAGTACTAGTAGCCTGATGATGGTTGTATTGTATGTAAATAGAGAGGGGTGGGCGCGGGCGGTGCGAGGCGGGGAATACGGGGCGGCGGCGCCGAACCCAGCGAGCAGGAGGTACTGGGCGTCATGATGCGCGGCCACGACTCCATGATGGCCGTGCTCACCGCGCGACAGCGGGCGTTACAGGTATACACCACAAACACAGACGCGCGCACACCAGGGGGCGGAGTCCAGCGAGCAAGACGTACTGGGCGTTATGATGCGCGGCCACTACTCCATGATGGCCGTGCTCACCGCGCGGCAGCGGGCGTTACAGGTATACACCACAAACGCACGCGCGCGCGCAAACACACACTCACACGTACACACACACACATACCTGGGGGTGGGACCCAGCGAGCAGGAGGTGCTGGGCGTCATGATGCGCGGCCACAACTTCATGGTGGCCGTGCTCACTGCGCGACAGCAGGCAGGTTGCCACTAATTTATGGTGAGCCACAAAATAATTACGTCTTAATTTCAATCAAAATGCTGCTCTGTCCAATTTATGCTGGGGGCCATACTAATGCGAAGATTTCCTTTCTCGCGATATGTCTGGCTAAGCAATTCGTAACCATAACATTATGCTTCTTGCACACCACATTATCGCGCGAAGATTCAACTTAGACTTTGACCTCGTCGCGATAAACATTAGTGATAGGACGCATTGCTTAGACATATCGCGAGAACGCAAATCTTCGCGTTAGTGCGGGCGGCCCCTAACCTAAGTTGGACAAAGCAGAATTTTGTTTGAAATTAAATCGAAATGCTAAACGGAGTTCTACTAAAGTTACCTTTTTGTAATGACATTTATAATAGAATATTGTGCTAACACTGATAAATCGTCTTTATTGCATTTCCAAATAAATTACCAACATGACTAAAAATATGTCGTTTATTATAATTAGGGCTGCCATCTCGAAAATGTGGCAACCAGGATAAGACGCGTGATAACCCCGGATTTTGGAGCCCAGAACCCGGACAGACCAATAAAAAAAACAGTTAAAAATGTGTTAATCCAATAAAATTTTGTTGGCTCCAATTTGAGACTTGATCCAGTAACATCTCAATCTCGGACAAAAGTCTGTCTTTACACTCTTCTTCTTCCATTTTCAAAAGTTTCAGTGCTGTCATCCACATAGCAACGAATGCTGTCATTGCGGACAGTGTAGGCGACAAAGCAGATCTTTGTTGGAAGTCAGCATTTATGGTTACAGTGTTGGAATAGATTTATTTATTTTCAAAGACATATAAATTGACGGATTAATTGGCGACCCAAAACAGGAATTTTTTAAACCCGGACTACAAATGAAACTCCGCCCGGACGCTCCCCGGACGCCCCGTAAACTAGGACAAATCGGGGGAAACCCGGACGGATGACAGCCCTAATTATAATAAATGTTTTCTTTTTCAGATTTTCCATTCAGTTCGAATTAACAAAAGCTTAAAATCAGCACTGGAATCGATTATAGCACTTGAAGATACATCTGTCATATTAGATATTCTTAATGTAATGGCTCATAAACCGTATGTATATAAAAATATTGTTTCACGGATATCCATTTAATTCAAAAAGAGTGAAAATTTTTCATATCGGTCTACATTTTATTTGCAGGTCTCTATGGAATTTAGATATTTGTTTATTGATGTTGCCCAAAATTTACGAGTTGTTGCAAAGCAAATACGAATCGTAAGTATTTTTTTTCCTCTTTTTGCTAAAATTTAAAACAGCAGTACATATTCATATAAAAAATGACTGGACACTGATACAGGCTTCGTGCTCAATAAAATACCTTATAGTAAATAATACGAAACATTAAAGTAAGAATGTAAAAAAAAATAGAAATATCGCGCTTTAACCCGTTCAATAAGTCGATAAATCATTAAAAATTGTTTACTTGAGAAGTTCGATGGCGCAGTGTTCAGCACGTTCATTATGCGAATTTTTAACATCTTTTGCAAAGGCCTATCATTGATGGGTGACCAAAATGTTGTTATTTCGAGCTTCTCCGTGTTTCGGAAGGCACATTAAGCCGTTGTTGGTCCCGTCTGCATCTGCAGTCATTAGCACCACGAAGCAAATACAAAGAGGAGATGCTTTGTAGGGGTTTGCTCTTAGATTTTAAGTGAAGCCACAAAGAGGAATCCGTACCCGTAGCACGAACCAATATCGAATTCTAGTTTGCGAGTGCGAAATGTTATCTTCAAATATTATATGGAAATTTTAACAGCAGCGCCACAACGGACGATGACTTATTCTCTCTTATTCCACCTTCAGAGGACCACGCGCGCTGGCCTAAGTTGTCACCGTCTAACTGTGGCCACAATTCCAACGCGTTCAAAGAAATTTGGTGACTCATTTCTTTATCACACTATCCGGAAATGGAATGCTCTGCTTGCTCACGTGTACCCTCCTTTTTACAACCTGGAATCCTTTAAAAGAGGCGTGAAGAAGCAACATGCAAGCCAGGTGAGGATGGCTGGTTTGGCAGGTAGAACTGCTGTACCAGCTATCTTCGCGTCTGGATTTCACTATCACTTAACATCAGGATAGGTGGAGTCATTAAAAAAAAGGGGGCCATGCACCTGGGCGGCAGTATCCGAAGGCGGCTGCAAGAGCTGCCAGGGAACAGAAGCCATTTAAAGGCAATCGTCTCGGCACATTACTTGGCTATTCGTGTTTGCTATTTGTAAACTTGACACAAATCTGTCCTTGTCGTTCCTTATAGAGCATGATAAGGACAGACTATTTTCAAGTTTAAAAATAGTAAATTCGAATAGTCAAATGAATAAAACATGATACCATGAGATCAATACGGCTTTGCATAAATTAAACGAGTGTACGCAATAAAAAGTTAAATAGTTGACTATGGCAAAGATTATGCTATTAAATGTGGCGAAATAAGTTGTATTGTTTTATATTTTTCCTCGTAACAATATTTATGGCAAGATTAGCTATTATATTAAATTAAATGTAGGTACATCTTACAAAGTCAGTCTATATTTTATGAGTTAAAAATTATTACACTTATCCTTTCGAAATATTAATACTAACTACTTGAAATAACAACACGATGATGAATATCATGAGATATATCGCCGCGTCGGCAATGCCGTGTGTACCCGAGTATACCCGCCGCCCCTTCGTCCCGCGGATCATCAGGAGGGTCGGCTTTACGTCGGTCAAGCTATAATAGGCTGTTTACAATGATAATTGTTTGCACAGTTACATGCAGTGCGGTTGCAACGCACTGCGACTGATAGTGCGCAACTTCTCCGCCGTGGTGCGCAGCAACGTGTGCGCGCCAGTGCGTACTCTAGGAGTCGACATTCCGCGCGAGGAGCGCTACGCTAAATGCGCGCAGATCCACCGCGTGCTGGTGGAGGTGCGTGCCTTCCTGCTCAAGCGGCAGACGCTGCAGGGTCGACTCGGGGCCGCTTTCCGCGACCTGCACACGCTCATGCAGCAGGGGCTCGACTGAGACACTGCCCCCGCCCCGCCCAGTGCCGCAGATCCACCGCGTGCTGGTGGAGGTGCGTGCCTTCCTGCTCAAGCGGCAGACGCTGCAGGGTCTCCTCGGGGCCGCTTTCCGCGACCTGCACACGCTCATGCAGCAGGGGCTCGACTGAGACACTGCCCCCGCCCCTCCCAGTGCCGCAGATCCACCGCGTACTGGTGGAGGTGCGCGCCTTCCTGCTCAAGCGGCAGACGCTGCAGGGTGCCTCGGGGCCGTCTTCCGCGACCTGCACACGCTCATGCGGCAGGGGTTTCCCCCCGCCCCGTTTCGCCCACGCCCAGTGCGATTTTTATTGTTGCAGAAAGGTCAAAACGATGCCTGGCGACGTTTTGGGGCCGCTTTACACGCTTATACATTATTGCTACATAAACTTGGCATAAGCCAAGTCAGCCAGCTCTGAGTTTGAACCGCACTCTATGTACATTTCGTATCAACTTCAACTTTAAACCGGATGTAAAATTAGCAGCCAACGCAACAATGTTCATGTTCAATGACATCTCGCGCCCTACTAGATTATGCGACTCGCGCTAATTTCTTAGCAATAAATCGTCTTTAGGGGTGATCCATAAATTACGTCAAACCCCCGTCCTTGTCACAGCTGGTCACATTTGTGAGACTACCCTCCTCCCTAGTGTGACGTCACATATTTTGCAATTTTCATTTAGAAATTATTGAATGAAAACAGCTGTTCTGAAATCAATTTTATTAACATTTAAATTGTTTTTTAATAATATTAACATCAAATCATACAATTAACAAAACAAGAAACGATTAATTATATTAATTAAAGAAATTACCAAACAAAAAACGATTCTCTATGTTAATTAAAGAAATGAACAAAACTAAAAACGATTGACATTCATCATCATCAACAGCTCAACTTTATCCGCTGTTGGACATAGGCCTCTCCAAATGCACGCCACTCAGATCGATCTGACTTTATTAATTAAAGAAATTAACAAAACAAAAAATATTAATAGCATTATAATTAAATTATAGATTAAAAACTTAATAATCTTAAGTCCATGAACATTGAACCCACTCCTTTAAATTATTTATAACTGGCATAGCACCACTTTGTTCTCGTTTGCGTTTTTAATGTTTTCGTAAAGTAATAGTTTCAACACTTAGATTATATAATAGATTTTGATTTCGTCACGAAATTTAGAACCACTCCCACCCCCTTGTCACACCATGTCACACTTCGTCGACCCCCTCCCTCCCCCTAAACGTGTGACGTATTTTATGGATGGCCACTGATACGAAATTTTGATAAAACAGAGAACATCCCCACTTGATATAGACCACACATACAAGGGCACCCTTATGCAGTGCTGCTCAATACTGTGTAAGCGTGTGAAACGCCTTCAAACGTGCATTCAAACGTCATTATACTAAATTTGTCATCTGACCAAGACGTCGATTTGATATTTCCAATCTAAACGTGGCTTACCATCCCCGCATGTGCAAACTTTGGTGATTTCGATTACAAACAAAAATTTAGTACTGCGATCTAGTGGCGGTACTCTGTGGGTTCAAACTTTATAACGGTTGTGAAGTTAGCAACGAGTCTGACTTCGCCCAGGTTTCTATTTAGTGATACCCGTAGTCAAAGAGAATAGATAAGGCTGCGGTCGCTTATTCTCTCTCTCGCTCTTATCTGCCCAATTGGGCATTGAACGTGCAGTTCCACCCCGGCAAACTTCTCGAGCAACGACCATACACAAGGAAGCGAGCAATGACAATGTAAAACATCTACTACGCAAGTTATTTGTCTGTGGTTTAGCCCAAGAAGTTTGCCGCGATCTATGCATTCTTTATGTCTATCACTAAAGAAAATATAATATCAAGCATTGTATGCTCAAATAAAAGTATAATAAAAATGTATATGCCTACAATATAATTCAAAATAATAATCTTCCATTTTAACTTCTTAATAATGAAAATCCGTATTTTGCATTGACGGCCGCACTCAATTCTGTCAGGATTGGATAAGACTACAGTTAGCTCTCGTTGTATGATCGATAACAAATTCAAAAAATATTGAATTCTTATAAACACACTGTACACTTTCACAGTCACATTAAAAAAGCAGCCTATAAAAAGAAAGATAAAGCCGAAAACCCTGGCGAAATTCATGAGGGCTCCGCCAATAATAAAAAAGAATCTTTTCAGATTGATTAAAGCTGAATGCTATCACTTTCTTTGTTATAGCAATAGAATAAGAACAACTATTTTGATAAGCATTAAATTAAATTCTCGTCTCTGAGTGCGACCGTTAGCACTTGAAACTTTAATTATGTAAGTACTTTTTATTAAGAAATGTGAATGCTGTGGATTTTGTTATTGAATTTAACAAATCTCGTAATAAATGGCAATAAGAGCCGATTCCACCCGGAATGGCAGCGGCCGGCAATGACGCGGTGAGCTCTTTCACACTAATATACTAATTTAAATTTTATCTTAATACTTCATGCGTAAAAGACCAGTATCGTATGAAAAGCTCTTAGAAGACGCGCAGTCAAGTGGCCGGAAGCGGTTCCGCCCACTAGAAACAACAACGCGGAACATTTTCAACCGATACTGGTCTTAATGTATATGGATAAAGTTTTCACAAAAACTGAAAGCAGTGTGAAAACTGCAACACGCATAGAGAACACGGTCGACGAAGGAGAGTAAGCATACACAGCTTTCCCTACAAGTTGGGCATACAAATTTGACATAAAACGATCTACTAAGTGTGCAGGATTTGGCGGTGTATTGTGTCATTGTTCATATATTAGGTGCAGTAATTACACTTTTGTTTTTACGCATGTACCTGTTTATGTGCAAATCCCCCCCTACCCCCCCTCAAAAAATGGCTGAATGATTTGAATTATATTAATGTCGCTATGGCTTCTCCCTTCCGCGATGCTCTCATAGAGGTATAAGAATAGAGTAGGGGAGATAAGTACTCTACTACAAGTGGAAGTGTCCGTCTAGTAGAAAGAGAAAGAAGATGAAAGACGACTAGCTATCTCTCCCTCTTGTGACGCTGCGCAGTCGTGTGATTGGTCGGTATTCATCCGTAGGTTTTTCATCCAATGCGCATGCCCGATTAGAGAAAGGCTAGCCGTCTCTCATCTTCTTTCTCTTTCTACTAGACGGACACTTTTAGAGCCGCCTTCCCTACTCTATTCTTATACCTCTATGGTTCCTCTATGTCGCCGCGTCACTGCCAACCGCTGTCATTCCAGTGTGAATCGGCCCTAATTGAAAGTTTTCTATTTATGTTTAATAAATTATTTAGTTCGTGTTTACAGGATTGCTTGCTTATTGTGTTTACGCCAGATGTGCCTTTTAATTATAATATATAATACATAGGAACTGAAAATTATTATAAGTATTAAACTATGGCATTCCCCAGTACAACGGCACAATTTGAATTCCGTGACGGTAAAAACGTGTTTTACTGTAATACTGTACGAATCTCATACCTTTGCTTCCATAATTCATCAAATAATATTAAATTGATTAATAATAATTTGTACTTAATTGTAATATTGATTCTAGTATTACTTAGTCATCAAGATCATAAATATTAAAATGTTTAAATAAACTCTAATTTAAAGTCAATTTGGTTTGATTTCATTTAAAATTAAATTTATGCAATCGTTAATACATTTTTAAAGAATGCTGATTGGGGTACAGTCTCTTAGCTAACTATAGTGTAGGTATTTTAGCAACAGCATAACCACAATAACTCCTACAGCAGAGCCTGAACTCTGTGCCCTTTATTTCATCATCATCAACAGCCCATTTTAGTCCACTGCTGGACATAGGCCTCTCCAAATGCAAGCCACTCAGATCGATCTTGGGCTACTCGCATCCAGCTCCTGCCAGCCACCTTGCGCAAATCGTCACTCCATCGTGCCTGAGGACGTCCTACACTACGTTTGCCTAGACGCGGTCTCCACTCCAGAACTCGTCTACCCCAACGGTTATCGGTTCTTCTGCAAACATGGCCAGCCCACTGCCACTTCAACTTGCTAATCCCTTTATTTGTTAACGAGGAATAAACTTAGACTAATTACGCCGTGTTTTGTTCATGACACTCAAATGCCTTTTGTCATTCAATGAAAGAGACTAAACATGGAGTAACTTATAAAAGTAGGTAAATATGACCACGAGCGTGTCCGAGACGCACGAGCGAGACATCGACGCGGCGAAGTTCAGTATACCTCGCTTTACCAAATTGATACTTTAATATGCAATTATTGATTATACAATAAATGCAAATATAAAATAAACTTCATTTGAAGTGCTAAGATGCATCCCTACTGTAGCAACGAACGATTCTAGATAGGAATCCTGAGTGGAGCAAAGGATACAAGGATTAAGTTTTTTTACTATTGTGAGAAAATAAATAATATATACCCATTATATAGTACCCATTGGTTGCGTTTTGGAAATGACAATAAAGATTAATTATGATTATTACTAATTATTGTAACTTTATATGTATGATTTGCATAACTTCTGTTTGTTCAATTTTTTTTTATTCACGCAGTAATTAAATGAAAAGTTTGTTCACTGTTATCGCAGAATGAAATCCCTTTTTCGAGTGGCAATGAGAAATAATATTTTATTTACTTGTATTTTTGGTATTGACTTTTTTAATGATGATTGATGTTTGGTAATAATCAAATATCTCAGTAAAACTGTACTAAGTGTAGTTTTGTCTTTGCCTTTGTAGTTCATTTAATAAAAAAGTTTTCGCACTCTGTACTTTCAATATTTCTGTAAGAGTATTTGATAAAAAAATAAAAAGCATGTTTTTTTGTATTCGTGTAATTTCCATTCATTTAAACAAAACCCATCAAAAGCATTTAACTTTCATAGGAACTCATCTCTTACACACCTAACTCATGAAATTTTTGCTGCGTGTTCTCGTATGGTAATTTCAGGATAAATAATATGAAAAC